GCTGTCCCAAAGAACCCAGCTGGCCCTGAAGGCAGCACACTCCTAACAGCTCCTTCTGCTGTCGCATTAGCTGATCAGAAAACTCCCAAGGATGGAGAATGTCCCGTGCAGTTGCTGTCCTGTGAGGTTGTGCTGGGCTGTCTGCAATGTCTAGGGGAATTCCTGGGGAAGAAGGAGGGTAGAGCTTGGTGGAGTCTTAGTGGAGATGTCTCCAGAGTCGTAAATGACAAAAATGAATTCCTTAACTGTCATATAAGAGCATCAGCCCCTGTACACAGGGGTGCAGAATTCCTTGGTGGAGAGAGAAGCTGGCCGGGCCAACAGCCCCAGGGTTGAGTGGGATGGACTTTGGCCTCTGCTCTGGTGCTCTGGCGCGATGCCCAGGAGAGTGTATGACTGTTCTGATAAACTGTTCTTTCCTTCCTCTCGGCCTCTCCTTTTTGTTCCTGAAACACAACCCTGTCCTTGAAAAGGAACTTTGTAACTGTGGACTGTCTAGCTGTGTCCTGCCCGAGACAGGTCTGGCCTTCACCCTGTTCAGCTCCATAGCAGTTTGCCTGTCCTTTTGCTTTCCTGGACTGTGGCAAGTTCCCACACTCCCTGTCTGGCCACCACAGGCATTTACAGGGAGAGCGTTCTGTTTACCCTTCTGTACCTCTGGTGGAGACCAGTAGGTCTAATGGCCTTCACTGGAGTCATCATCTTTGAAAAAAAGTAAATTTTTAATTACTTTAGATAGAATTCACTCTCCAGTTCCCTTCAGGCTCCAGGCTCTCTACAATTAGATACTGTCTGCCTTTACATTTCAATCATTTAACCACAATACATTATGTTAATATTTTTTTAATTGGGAGCTATTACCCTGGATAATCTCTAATGCACTGACTTCCCAAAGTTAACAATAAAACCAAAAAAGACACTGTTACTTCTCAGACACTTCCAACTCACCTGTAACTAGGGACTCTCCGTTCTAACCAAGTGAACAGAACATTTGCTTTTATACATTTGTGAACATCTTCTAAAAGTTTTTCTCATCCTCTCCTACTTTCCCCAGTGGATCATCAAACCCCTGTAGTCTGGTGCTAATGATTCCTGGGTTGCTGTCTGCTCAAATCAACACTTCAAAATTGTAATGTGCCTGAGTTTATCTTTGTTCAGTTCCAATCTTGACAACACTGGATCAGATATTCCTAGAATCTGGTCTTCATCTTCAGGTTCATTTTTAACTTCATATTTCTATGTCCATCCCCCTTAAGCCAAAATGGCTTATTCAATAGCGATAATCAGGTATATTTTCTACTCCTTGTTCTCTGTTGCAAGGAGCCATTGCTCACCAACAGTCCTTTAGTGTGGCTGCCCTACTTCTCCATTTTCATTTTCATTTTCATTTACTTCTTCCTGGGCCAGCAAAGCAAAAAATTTTTATCACCCTTGCTTGATTTCTTAAGCTCTTTCATTTGAGATTTGTGATTTTGTTTGAGATGATCTTCATAATCCCCTTGCCTTTACGATGAACTGAAATTTTAACCGGAATAATATTTGGAGATAACATTTCCTTCAATAATTTGAAAACATAGTTTCATTACTTCCCCTATTTTTGTGTTCCTTTCTGTGGCCAGTCTAATATATCCTCCCTTGTGAAGTATTTTCTTTGTCTGCTAGATGCTTTGGTAATTCTCTTTCATTTTGAATTTCAATAAGTTAACAAGAATATGGTCCAATGTCAAGCGTGCGGAGTTGGGTTTCCTAGAATCATGTCTCTTTATCGTCCAGGTTTAATTTTTGCTTCACTTCAGGGAAATATGGTTTGTTACCTTCATATACATTTTCCATTGTACCTTTTCTGTTATCTTCAAGAGCACCAGTTGTCATTACATTGGATTATCTTTAACTGCTTATTATTACTATTGTTGTTGTCGTTTGGGACTCATTGAGGGTACAAAGGATTAGGTTACACTGATTGCATTTGTTAGGTAAAATCCCTCTTATAATTGTGTCCTATCCCCAAGAGGTGTGCTGTACACCGTGATCTCCCATCCTCCTCCCTCCTCTCCTCTCCCCACTTGTTCATTTCCCTATCCCTGCTTTCTTTAACAGCTTTCTTTGTTTATTAGCTTCTTTCTGACTGTCCTATTTGCTGTATCATTTCATTAGCCTTTCCATGAATATCGCTCTTTTCTGTTACATAAGTAGTATGATATGATGTTATATAGATCTATTTCCTTTCTGTTTATCATTAATTGTGTATTCACTCTGTTTATGTCCTTAATTAGCATTCAATGCTCTAAAATCTTTATTTTCATAAAACTATTATTTTATCACTTCTTTTTTGTTATCTCTTAGTTATTGAGTCCATTTTACATGGTTTAGAGCTCCAAGAATCTGGAAAAGAATTTCTGTTCAGTTTATTTTTCTTCTTTAATCAATTGTCCTTGTTCCCATGTCAGTTTTACATATCTTGTTTTCTAATCCCAAATCTCATAGTAGACTCTCATAATGTTTTTCATTGTATTCACATGTGCCTAGCTCTGCATCCACCTTTTGCTTTCTGTATCTAGTGTGGCTGGTGACACGTGCAGCTGGAGTTGGGCTCGGACTCCTCCATTTTTCAGTAGAGTTGAGGGAAGATGATATTGTGGGAGATGCATTGAGGCAGGTCTTCTGGATGTAGGTGACCCTTCTTTCCACCTGATGACACCATGCACTAAGGGCATTACCTGGTGGTCCACCCTGATATCCCCAATGAGGGTCACCTGGTGCTGCCACCATGTACTGGTTGTTGCTGTGGTTGGTATATGCCATGTAGTGATGGGGCCTTGGAACATGGTTCACCCCTTCTTGCAGACCCCATGGCAGGTGGTCACCTGGTTGGTTCTTCTGGGCCCCCTCCTGGGGTTTCCACTGACTCTAGCTTTTAAGCCCAGGGACTTTGGCCAACAAGTGCTGCTTCCTCTCTTGTGGTTATACTTTCTGCTCTTCCTTGTGCAGTTCAAACATTTACTATTCAGTCCATTTCCTCCATTTTGTGATTTTTAGGAATCCTTTATCATTTATGGTACACAATGCTGCCCATTGGTTTTCACAGAAAATGTATATTTTTAGCTATCATTTCTATTATTTTAGAGTTAAGCCAGCAAAAAACATTCCAATATTCTTCATTAAAGGTGAATATCAACTTACCTTCAACTTACTAAGAAAGGTATTAAGGTGTCAAGTGCCTTTCTATGGGTCCTTGATGGGCCTCCAATTGGGTTCTGTCTTCTTCTCTTATAACTGTGTAATTTCTACAAATGAATGTGTGCAGCTAATAGTGTTTTCAGTGAGCACTTTTCCTGGCATCTACTTTCCAAGTGCTTTGAGCATTTAAACGATAACTTTAGAGATACAAAATATCTTATGTTTAGTGACAGAACACACAAGTACTATTTGGTTACAATATTGGGTAGCAACCTGGCCTTTAACAAAAATTAAATTCTTTCATATGAACCTACCATTACCAAATTCCAACTGAACATTTATCATAAAAAAAGAAAAGAATGGAAAAGGAGGAGGAGAGGACTGGAGGGAAGAAGATAGAAGAGGAAGAGGAGAAGATGGGGGAGGAGGAGAAGGAGGAAAACAAATAGTTGTCAACAAATTATATCATTTATAAAGAAACAAGTAATTTCTTAATATAGGGAGTTATGGTCTAAGCAGGATCCCAGTGGCCCAGTGTGGGCTTAGCCTCTCTTTCTTACATATCCATTGCAGATTCAGGCTTGGGGGTTAGAGACGGTTTGGGGTGATCTGACTCAGTACAAATTTTTCTGTCTGGGCCTGGTTACTAGAGTTTTAGATCTTGTCTAAATATTGATAAAGTGTTTGGATCAATTTAGGATGAGACGAAATGCAATTCTATTCTGTGATGACCAGAACCCCTTGATTCCCCACTAAGACCAGAGGGGAACAAGCCCCCTACCCTTGAAAAGGAAACCTCTTCTAAATCTTTTAGTCCCAGCCCCCTCAAGGGTGAAGAAGCTTAAAGATAAGGAAGAGAGGAGGGGAGGAGTTGATGCCAGAAAAATCTTGGTGGATAGTCCTGAGTTCTTTGGAAATTTACCCAACTCTTGTACTCCCGTTGTGAATTTTGTAATTCCCAATGTGATTTGCTTATATGAACTAAATCAGCATGTACCCCTCCCCTGAGTTGTGTAATCCCTTACGAGTATGTACCCCTTACCTTGTGACCTCTGAGTTGTGCTGAGCTGGCTAATTGCAACACTTTGGCTATAGTACACTTCTGTATTAGTGTGCTTGCTTGCTTCAGCAAAGATTACAGTATATAAACCCTTTGAATTTGCATTTGTGGCTGCTTGTGGGCCCCAACAATGGCCCCCTGGAGGTGCACCTGCAGGGGTATTAAATTCCTAATAAATTTCTATTGATTAATTGTATCAGAAGTAGGGTCCAACTTTTCTCAGCTGCATGGGATTACAATAATCCATAGGTTTAAATGAGATAATGTAGAACTCCAGAACAAAGGAAGTTAGAAAACACTGGCAGTATGGGAAGGGTGGCTGAGTCACAAAGAAGAGAAGAATAATATGAAAGAAATGATAGGATGGAGGAAAATAGAGATGCTTCACTTATCACCACTCAGGGGGCCCTGCGTACCACGTCATCCTCAGGCTATGCCTAAAAGGTTAGTCTGGAGGTCTGGGCACCACTGTTGTACATCATCGTCTCAGGAGGTTAAGACTCCGGTAACAGGTTACAAAAGCTTTTTCTGAAAGGCGTAAATGAAATAAGGGTTTTTTTTTTAAATTAATGTTGTTCAGATGACATTAAAGATAGCTTAAGGGGGCTCAGGTGGCATCTGTGGCTCAGTGGGTGGGGCACTGGCCCCATATACCAAGGATGGCAGTTTGGAACCTGGCCCCTGGCCAAAATGCAATAAGGTGTGGCAGGCACCTGTAGTCCCAGCTACTTGAGAGGCTGAGGCAAGAGAATTGCCTAAGAGTAGGAGTTGGAGGTTGCTGTGAACTGTGATGCCACAGCACTCTACCGAGGGTGATAAAGTGAGACTCTGTCTCTAAAAATAATAATAAATAATAATAAAGATACCTTAAGGTATCATCGGTGACTGTCCTCATCATTCCTTCTCCTGTTCTTCCTTCCACAACTTGGTTAATTCTTTGTTGGTGGTATTCGGTGGGATTTCCCCAGTAGCTTTGAGGTAATATCTCATGAGTTTTTAGCCCTGCGGTGAATTGTACGTTAGGTTGTGGCAAAAGTCCCTCAAAAAGGTCTCCTTGATCTACTTACATCCAGGCCATCCATAGCTGTCACAAACCAGCACAGGAAGGGGAGTGAACCAGAGTGGAATTGGTGGGGAATGAGGAAAATACAGCACAAGAGAAGACATGGAAAGAAAGGATGGGACTGGGAAGACTGACTCAGCTGATGGCTACAGCCAGCACCAAAGTCCATCAGCTTTATTTTATAGTATTGTAAGGGCCAGACCAGCGCCATTTTCTTGTCTGCTCTGTTAAACCGCAGGGCCACTCCCTGCTGCCTCCCCCACCCCTGGTTGCATAGCCATTAAGCCGTTGAATTGAGTCACCTAAGACAGACAGCTGCCATAATAGGCAATAAGTATCAGTTCCCTTGAACAACTCCCATAATAGGCAATAGGCATCTACTTCCTTGAAATTCAGGTATTCTCCTTCCTAATTAGGCTACACCACCTCTAGCCCCAGTTAAGAAATCCCCTACCCTTCACCTGTACTAATCCAAATCCTCCTTTACTAGTGAAATCACCAACCACCAATGAAAAGTGTACTCGTATCCGACCCTACCCCTCTTGCTTTCTGTACCCCATAAAAACTGCCTTCACCCCGAGTTCGGGGCTCGTCCTCGGCTTACATGCCAGGAGAGTCCAGGCCTGGGCCCCCTGGGTGGGCCTCCTGGGTCTGTAAAAAAATCTCACCTTATGCCCTTTACATCGGAGTGTGTCTCGAGTCTGTCCGTTTGGGCTAAGTTGGGAGGATTTCTCAGACCCAACACTCTGAGTCCCAGTCAAATGTAAGATTTTTGAGGGAAAGCAAGGCCATGATTAGCACAAATACATAACTGATATTCAGAAAACTATTTGTCAAACTCATCAATCAATGCATGAATGAATATCATTCTTTGAGTTGGGAACTTTGTGTAAGGTTCCCAACTAAGGGGGAAATAAAGCAGGTTATGTACCATTCTATGTACCACTAGAGTACAATTCTTGTGCTTGTATCAGCAGTTGTTTATAAGCTTTTTTTTTTTTTTTTTTTTTTTTTTGAGACAGAGCCTCAAGCTATTCCCCCTGGGTAGAGTGCTGTGGCATCACAGTGTGAGGACCAGATCAACTCCATTTTGTTATTCACATAAGTTCTGTTCCTGGGCCCCTGCAGGGCCCACCCTGCAGCCCTCCCCATTCCATTCCTAGTTGCTCAACCATATCTGCAGGGCCCACCCTGCAACCTTTCTCATTCCTTTCGGAGTTGCTCAACCATATAGCGCCACCTTGGGCAACAGAGCAATAAGCCCCCAATTCCTTGTTAACTATGTCACCTTACTGCAATAAACAGTAAGTTTCTATTACCTTGAAATACAGGTAACCAGGTTACCCCAACTCTAGCCCCCAGTTAAGGGACCCCCTACCCCTCACCTATATCAATCCAAATTCACCTTTACTAGTGAAATCAGCCACCAATGCAAACCCTCCTTTACTTCCTCCTTTACTAATGAAATCACCAACCACCAATGAAAAGTGTACTCATATCCAACCCTACCCCTCTTGCTTTCTGTACCCCATAAAAACTGCCTTCACCCCGAGTTCAGGGCTCATCCCATGCTTGCGTGCTGGGCGAGTCCAGACCGGTCTGTAATAAATCTCACCTTATGCCTCTTACATCGGAGTGCATCTCGAGTTTGTCGACTGGGGCTACTTCGGGAGGCTTTTTCGGACCCAACAACAGCTCACAGCAACCTTCAACTCCTGGGCTCAAGTGAGTCTCCTGCCTCTGCCTCCCAAGTAGCTGGGACCACAGGTGCCCCCCACAATGCCTGGCTATTTTTTGGTTGCAGCCACTGTTGTTGTTTGGTGGGCCTGGGTTGGATTCGAACCCGCCACCTGAGGTGTATGTGGCTGGCACCTTAGCCACTTGAGCCACAGGTGCCAAGCCTATAAGCTTATTTTAATTGATGCCATTTAGTAAATCCTTTATATTCATCACAAGGAAAATTACATATAAGCTATTTATCATTTGGCTCATCGTTTAATCTGGATTTCTAGCTTGTCATGCTTAAAATATAGAAGAAATGATAGATAATACTTTCCTTACAGGATTCTGAAGCTATGAAGTGAATTTATGCATGTAAAACAATTTTGTACAATAAAGACAGAAAACAAGGGAATTAGTAAATAAAAATATGTGGTACTTCTAACCACATTGTGTTTTGACATAGTTAAAATACATTAAACCAGTGGTTCTCAACCTTCCTCATACCTCCTAAGGCTGCAACCCTTTAGTACAGTTCCTCAGGTTGTGGTGACCTCCAACCACAAAATTATTTTTGTTGCTACTTCATAACTGTAATTTTGTACTGTTATGAATCTTAATGTAAATATTTGATATGCAGGATGTATTTTCATTGTTACAAAAGGGTCATGATCCACAGGTTGAGAACCAGTGCCTTATACCTATATGTTAGTCACTCGAAGAAATCTAAGTGCAAATGTAATAAGACTTGTCTTGGTTTTGTTTTTTTCTTCAGGAGATCATGGACATCGAAGCATATTTTGAAAGAATTGGTTATGAAAACTCCAGGAAGAAGCTGGACTTGGAAACATTAACTGACATTCTTCAGCACCAGATCAGAGCCGTTCCCTTTGAGGACCTTAACATACACTGTGGGGAACCCATGGAGTTGGACTTACAGGCTGTTTTCGATCACATTGTGAGAAGGAAGCGTGGAGGGTGGTGTCTCCAAGTCAATCAACTTCTGTACTGGGCTCTGAGCACAATGGGTTTTGAGACCACAATGTTGGGTGGGTATGTTTACATCCCTAAGATTGAAAAATACAGTAGTGGTATGGTTCACCTCGTACTGCAGGTGACCATTGGTAGCAAGAAATACCTCGTTGATGCTGGATTTGGTTCTTCCTACCAGATGTGGGCGCCTCTGGAGTTAATTTCTGGGCAGGATCATCCTCAGGTACCTTGCATCTTCCGTTTGACAGAAGAGGATGGAATCTGGCACCTAGACCAGACCAGGAGAGAGCAGTATGTTCCCAATAATGAATATCTTAATTCTCATCTCCTGGAAAAGAATACATACCGAAAACTCTACTCCTTTACTCTTGAACCTCGAACAATTGCAGATTTTGAGTCTGTGAATATTTACCTGCAGGAATCTCCATCATCTGTGTTTGCTGGCACATCACTTTGTTCCTTGCAGACCCCAGAAGGAGTCCACTGTTTAGTGGGCTTCACCCTCTCCTATAGGAGATTCAATTATAAGGACAATGTAGATCTGGTAGAGTTTAAGACTTTGGATGAGGAAGAAATAGAAGAAATGCTTAAAAACATATTTAATGTTTCTTTGGAGAAAAAGCTTGTGCCCAAACATGGTGATCAGTTTTTTACTATTTAAGATGCAAAACAAACCTATTTACATTTATAATCCAGCTCACCAGTTATGAACTGATGACCTATCATATTTCCTCTAAACCCCTACAGTTTATTGAAGAGAATCCTGGATATGAAATCATTTCACCTGTTAAAAAATGCCAGCATATCTAATTAAACCTCTTTACAGAAACATAACCACATAACCACACACATTTTCCAATGAATAATAATAAAGGTGTGGTAAGGTTAGTCTGTGGTAATCTCGGGAACCATAGTGGTTTATACTAGAGAAGTTTGAATATTGGGTTTTTTTTTAAATTGATAGACGATTTTTTAATAGTGATAGGTAAATAGAATATTATGGGAATACTTACTGTCTGGAAAGTATATTAAATCATGTTAGTGAATACAATGCCAATAAAAGATTTTTTCCATATTTATTGTTATTTTCTTTTATTTTTAAAATTCTTTTTTATTAAATCATAACTTTGCACATTGATGCATTTATGGGGTTTAGGGTACTGCTTCCATATACAATGTGAAAGGCTGACATTGAATTAAGTAACACATCCATCACAACTATACTCATTTTTTAATAGTTCTGAAATGTACCGTTGCATCATGCACATTAGGTGAGGTACCCCCAAATACCATCCCTCCTCCCATACCCTTGCTTCACTAATCTAATCAACCATACTAATCTAATCAAGTACCACTAATTTAATCAACTTCACTAATCTAATCAACTTCACTGATCTAATCAACCACTGATCTAATCAACTTCACTGATCTAATGAACCACTGACCTAATCAACCACTGATCTAATCAACGTCATTGATCTAATCAATCACTGATCTAATCAAACACTAACCTAATCAACCTCACTGATCTAATCAACCACTAACCTAATCAATTTAACTAACCTAATCATCTTCACTAATCTAAGCAGCTACACTAATCTAATCAAAGATTAAATCCTGTTAGCAAATACAATGCCAATAAAAGATTTTTTCCATATTTTGTTTTTTTCTTTTATTTTTAAAATTCCTTTTTATTAAATCATAGCTTTGTACATTGATGCATTTATGCAGTTTAGGGTACTGCTTCCATATACAATGTGAAACGCTTACATTGAATTAAGTAACACATCCATCACAACTATACTCATTTTGTAAAAGTTTTGAAATGTACCGTTGCATCATGCACATTAGGGGAGGTGCCCACAAATACCATCCCTCCTTCCATATCCTTTCTTCACTGATCTAATCAACCACTGACCTAATCAACTTCACTGATCTAATCAACTTCACTAATCTAATCAACTTCACTGATCTAACCAAATACACTGATCTAATCAACAACTGACCTAATCAACTTCACTGATGTAATCAACCACTGACCTAATCAACTTCACTAACCTAAACTTCACTAATCTAATGAGCGACACTAATCAGCCACACTAATCTAATCAAATATTAAATCCTGTTAGCGAATACAATGCCAATAAAAGATTTTTTGCCATATTTTGTTATTTTCTTTTATTTTTAAAATTCCTTTTTATTAAACCATAGCTTTGTACATTGATGCATTTATGCGGTTAAGGGTACCGCTTGCAAATACAATGTGAAACGCTTACATTGAATTAAGTAACACATCCATCACAACTATACTCATTTTTTAGTACTTTTGAAATGTACCGTTGCATCATGCACATTAGGTGAGGTGCCCCCAAATACCATCCCTCCTCCCATACCCTTGCTTCACTAATCTAATCAACCGTACTAATCTAATCAAGTACCACTAATTTAATCAACTTCACTAATCTAATCAACTTCACTGATCTAATCAACCACTAATCTAATCAACTTCACTGATCTAATCAACCACTGACCCAATCAACTTCACTGATCAAATCAACCACTGACCTAATCAACTCCACTGATCTAATCAACTTCACTGATCTAATCAACCACTGATCTAATCAAATTCACAGATCTAATTAACTTCACTGATCTAATCAACCACTGATAGTTGTAGATTAGATCAGAGAAGTTGATTAGGTTAGTGATTGATTAGGTTAGTGGCTGATTAGATCAGTGAAGTTGATTAGTTTAGTGATTGATTCTATCAGTGAAGTTGATGGGGTTAGTGGTTGATTAGATCAGTGAATTTGATTAGGTTACTGTAGTTGATTCAATTAGTGAAGTTGATTAGGTTAGTGGTACTTGATTAGATTAGTATGGTTGATTAGATTAGTGAAGAAAGGATATGGGAGGAGGGATGGTATTTGTGGGCACCTCACCTAATGTGCATGATGCAATGGTACATTTCAAAACTATTAAAAAGTGAGACAACTACTGGTTACAACTATTACTAGTTACTTACAACTATGAGTCACCACAGGATACCAACATTTACAACAATAACCAAATGTCCACCTATAGGAAAATAACCGCTAGACCAGTGAATTTCAACCAGTGTACCAGATTTTAGACACTAGTGTGTAACAAGAGGATCATAGGTGTACCAAAAAAAATTTCAAGGCTGATACTTCTTTTAAATTTTGACCGAGTCTCACTATGTCGCCCTCAGTAGAGTACCATGGCATCACATCTCACAGCAACCTCCAACTCCTGGGCTCAAGCGAGTCTCCTGCCTCTGCCTCCCAAGTAGCTGGGACCACAGGTGCCCGCCACAACACCTGGCTATTTTTTGGTTGCAGCCGTCATTGTTATTTGGCAGGCCTGGGCTGGATTTGAACCCGCCACCTTAGGTGCATGTGGCTGGCGCCTTAGCCACTTGAGCCACAGGCGCCGAGCCAACTCTTCCTTTCTTCTATTTCTTCTCTCTATAATAACAAACACTATGTTGGTTCCTGGTTCCCACTGCCTCCCACATTGTTTTAGCTGAGTACATGGGGTGCCCATGCTGTTTTCATAACCTCCACCATAGCAAGAGGTTGCTTGTGACTCAGTTTTCGTCATGAGCTATATGCATGAGCGTGAAATTTCTGTATTTATTTATTTATTTTTTGAGACAGAGCCTCAAGTTGTCACCCTGGGTAGAATGCTGTGGCATCACAGCTCACAGCAACCTCGAACTCCTGGGTTCAAGAGATTCTCCTGCCTTCACCTCACAAGTAGCTGGGACTACAAGTGCCCGCCACAACGCCTGGCTATTTTTTGGTTGCAGCTGTTGTTGTTTGGCAGGCCTAGATTCAAACCTGCTAGCTCAGGTGTATGTGGCTGGCACCTTAGCTGCTTGAGCAAGAAGCTAGTTTCACTCTTCCTTTTCTCTTTCCTCTCCCACTGGCTGGAAATGGTGACAAAGAGAGTAAACACCTTAGACTCAGACATGGAGTCCTACATTGAGGACGGACAGACTAGCCTCGGTCTGTTATATTAGGTTGGAAAGATATATATGAGCTTGGCCTATGCCCTAACATAGATAATTAACTTATTCAGTGTTTGGAAAAAAAAGAATGGAACTAAATATGAAAAGTAAAACTGTTAAATGACTAGAAGAAAATTAAAAAGACGATTTGATTTTGTTTAAGGGAAGGATCATAAACTCAAATACTCAAATACATTGTAGAAACCTCACTAATGGATCTGACTCCATAAAAATTTTAAAATCTAAAACATTAAAAAGGCATAAACAAAATATAAAATTAATGACAAATTAGGGGAAGGTGAATGTGAATATCAGACAAGTCACAAAGTAGGAAATATAATCAATAAGTATGAAAAATATTTACTTCACAAGTGTTCAAAGAAGTGCTTATTAAAATGGACTGCATTAATGTACATAGCTATGATTTAATTAAAAAAAGATCAATAAAATGATACCAGGATTCTTATGAAATTGACAAAAAATTTCTCTAAAGTTTCAATGCCCAGATTGGAAGGTACAAAATGAGAACTTTATATACATTTTAGGGTGGGAATGCAAATACTACCAAAAGGTGATTTGGCTTTAAACACATATATCTAAAGACTTAAATCTGCACATAGTCATCTTTTGGTATTTGGGAACTAATAGGTAACCTCCTCTCTTCTCACATTCATATATATATTAATAGCCATGAAATTGACCATGGTGTTAAAAGATGGAAGTAAAACAATCAGCTGTACTGTACATAAGACTGAAAGGGAAAGTGCATTTGATCAACAGCTTTAATTGTGCTCCACTATGGTGCCACTGGTTTAAACTTAACCCCCAAATTGAAGGCCTGCTTAAGATTCCTGCCTGGAGAAACAGAGATTGCACCCTTCCAAAGGTCAGGATGGTCAGAAAGAAAGTGCTAGACCATGCCAGCTCAATTCCTTCTTCCATTTTTCTAATCAGGTAAGTAACATCTGGGTGGTGTGAGAGAGAAAAAGAAGAGCCATCATGAATTTTCATACTTTTCCCTCCTAGAGAAGGAAGTTCCCTCTACTTTATGAAAGTGGGAGGAGGGTTGGGGGATAAGAGTATCCCTCCGTTACATTTAATCCAGTAATTCTACTCCTAAGTATTTGAAACAAGTAATAGCACTTGTACATAGTTCATTTTATGTTATAAATTAAAAAAATAAGTTATTATAAAATTAATAATGTTTGGGGAAAAATAAAATTACATAAAGAATATAAAGTAAATTATAAATGTTCTCCTGCCTACTAATTCCATTCATCAAAATTTTTACCAGTTGGTGTAGACAAGCATACACACAAATATATGTATATACATGTGTGTTCATTAAATAAAATCATATTTTACATTTTATTGCTCAATGTGTTTTTTCATTTAACAGTGAATTGTCAACATAATTCCAGACACAAACATTTATTTAAATAAAATTGGACTAACTATTCTGTGTACCTGCTATGTATCAGGCAGTGATGATTCTAGGGATATGTCAATGACCAAAATGTCTAGAGTCCATAGATCTTTCTTGTTATGTTGAGAAGCAATCCATATCACTGTAGGCTATTTCACTTAAATGTTCCTATAATAAGGGACACGGAGCTATTTCCATTTTTCCTATTTCCAACATTGCTTTTAAGGATAAATATTTTTAAACATAACACATTCTTCTTGTACAATTGTGCTAGCATTTCCACACAATAATTTATAAACATGGTTTGACAGGGATTTAGAGCTCTATG